GCCGAGGACACTGCGTGTCACCTAACAGCAGTGCACCTTTTGAGAGACGCACTGGTCACAGTGCAATGCTCAGAGAGTACACTGACCCAAACCCAGGCGGTGCGGCCACTGCACACCTGGGCTCCAGGTACACCTGTCGCTGCCCGGTGCACACTGCACGGCACATCCCTGTACCGGACACTGGTGGTCACTGCCATAGGCAGTAGGTATGTGGAGACTTCAAACGTCGACAGACAAAATGGAATTCAAGTACAAGTTTATGTGGGTGCAAACAATTTAGTGTTTCATAATACACATTTTCCATTAACTTTTTGAAGACCCTCCATATTTGTACATAAGATGTAAAAAAGGTACAATAAAAATACGGTATGGAAGCTAAAAATCGGTATTCCGCTACAGGGCACTCGCAATGATGGAACCTGCAGGACTGGAAGCGCCGAGGTGAGGCAGTGAGCAAGCAGTGCGTGGGAATGCCTGGGCCCCGCCGAGCGCTACTGCCGACCTTACGAACTCTGTATGCGTAAGCTACACTGAATTCACACAAAACATTTTCTTTCTTCGGTACGGAAAAATAATACCTTAGTGTACTGTAACTTTTTTTAAGGTTTATGCCATAGGGCATGTGTGCTTGTCAGAGAGAAAGAGAGAGACAGGGACAGGGAAAATGAGAAATCCCAGAGGAAATGGCCATGCCACAATCCCTCCTCCTACATTTTCCTCTGGGTTTTAGGCACGCACACACATGCACCTGACCTGAGTTTTAAGCCATCCGGTCTGGGACTCGAACCACAGTTAGTCACGTGGTAGCCCAGTGCCTTAAACACCACACCACCTGCTGGCCCCTACTGTAACATTTTGACTTAATAAACTTAATTTTGTTTTAACTTTTTCACTCTTCTGTAAAAACATTTAGCTTAAAACAAACACATTGCACAGCTATAGAAAACTATTTTTCTTGGGGCCGGCAAGTGGCGTGGTGGTTAAGGGTGCTGGACTCCCACATGGCTGACCGTGGTTTGAGTCCCAGACTTGGCAGCATGCTTTCTCACTTTCTTTCTCTCTCTCTCTCTCTTGCTTGCTCTGTTCCTTTCTGGTCAAATTAAAATAAATAAATAAAGTTATTCTTTTTTTAAATACTATTTTTCTTTATATCCTCATTCTATGAAGTTTTTGCTATTTATTCATTTTACTTTTAAACTCTTTTGTTAAAAACTAGGGCACAGAGGCCAGCAAGTAGCATAGTGGTTAAGGTACTGGACTCCCACGTGATCAGCTGCAGTTTGAGGCCCAGACCCAGTGGCTTGAAACTCACGCCAGGTGTGTGTGCACACATGCCCAAAATCCTGAGAGGAGGGTGGAGAAGGGACTGTGGTGTGTCCATTTCCCGGGGATGCTTTCTTGCTGTCTCTGTCTCTCTGGTGAGTACATGCCCTGCAACACCCTCGAGACCACTGCCGTCCAGTCCCAGGGCCGTGAAGAATAACCCTCAAGACTGGATCAAGCACAAGAGAAAGGATGCGACAAACAGAGGCAGTAAACATGTGACGCACCTGCTGCTGTGCGACACACTGCACTGCTTTACAGTGAACTTTTTCTTCGCGAAGAGGTTTTTGCTATAGGGCATGAGCACTCACCAGAGAGACAGAGACAGAGAGACAGAAAGCCAAAAATCCCCCTCTGGGGGGGGCGGTGGCCACGCCACAATCCCTTCGCCATTCTCCTCTTGGGATCTTGGGCATGCACGCACACGTGCCCTGCGTGAGTTTAAGCCACTGGGTCCAGGGCTTGAACTGTGGTTGACTACATGGGAGTCCAGCGACATAGCCATTACGCCAACTGCTGGTCCCCTAAACTTTTTAAAAAATAAGTAGGAGTACACTCTAAAATAACAATAAAGAGCATAGTTTCAAAACTCCACAGATCAGCACCATTGCTGTTTATTATCATACCAAGTATTACAGGGTGTGCATCACTGTGGACGCGGTACTTTTCTGTGACCGCCCGTCTGGTGGGTTTCTGGAGAAACATGTCACTCTGACATTATAACAGCCGCAGCGTCGCACCGCCACTGTGTGTGTGGTTGTTACAGAGCCATCAGCAAGTCCTGCTGGCTCCCACTGCAGCGTGTACCCAGACCAGCCCCGTTGTCACCACCTCCTCTGTTACTCCAGAGCCAGTCGCCGTCCCCCCTCGCCTGCAGGCCCAGATCTAAACCAACCCCTCTGCTCCCTCTTGCACCATCACCACTGTAGCTCTTTCTCCACAGGCGGCTCAGGGGCTGCTGTCACTCCTGTGCATCAGCCTTCCACTGACTCCCCACCTCTCTTGGAATAAAAGGCAAGAACTCAACTCTCCAATAGAGGTACAGACAACAAAGTGTGGGCAACGGTGGGACCAGCGGGGGCATGGCAGCTGAGGTGCCAGACTCCCACACGGCCTACCATCATTTGAGTTGCATACCCCATAGCTTGAAACTCACACCAGGTGCATGTGTGTGGATGCCAAAAGTCCAAGGAGAAAAGTGGAGAACAGACTGCAGAGTGGCCATCCCCCCGGGGGTGATTTCTTGCTTTCTGTCTCTCTGTCTCTGTCTCCATGGTGAACGCAAGAGCCCTATAACAAAAAAACTCTCTCAAAAACAAATAAACAAAAAGGGGCAAAGGACTTGAAAACAAATTTCTCCAAAGGAGCTGGCTCAGTGGCCTGGGGGTTGAAGCAGTCAGAGCCCACATAGCTGACCTTGCAGTTCAAGTCCAGGACCCAGTGGTTTGAGAGCTTACTCTGTGTGCACATACCCACAGTCCTAGCAGGAGGGGGATGGTAGAGAAGGGCTTCCGGAGTGACCACTCCCTACTGGGAGGTGCTCTCTCCCTCCGCCTCCGTCTCCCTCACTGTGTCTGGAAGCACACATGCCCCCTGGCAACTAAGAAAAGAAAAAATTTAAAAAGGCAAAAGGAAGGAGTTTGTGTCCACACGACCTTATATGTGGGGTGCACGTGTGTGGGGTGCACGTGTGTGGGGTGCACACATGTGGGTGCATGTATGTGGAGTGCACATTTGTGGGTGCATGCACATAGCTGCATGTGCGTGGGGTGCATGTATGTGGGTGCATGCATGTGGGTGCACGTGTGTGGATGCATGTGTGTGGGTACACACATGTGGGTGCATGCGTGTGGGTACACGCACGTGGGGTGCACGGCAGTGTTATGCGTGACAGTCGAGAAGTGAGTACTACCAGTGAGGGAGGGGAGCAACATGACATGGCTGTACAGGAACAGAATACTCTGACAACGTGAATGAAGTGCTCATATAGCTGCAGCCTGCTAGGAACTTGACAGCATCATGCAGAGAGAAAGACGCCCATTTACGTGAAACGCCCAGGGGTAGCCAGGGGCTCGGAGCAGGGAAAATGGTGAATGACTGCTCACGATGTGGGGTTTCTTCCCGGGTGTGTGTGAATGCGTGCCCAAAATCCCAAGAGGAGAGTGGAGGAGAAGGGATTGCGGTGTGGCTATCTTCCCTGGGGGACAATTTCTCGCTGTCTCTCTGGTGAGCACACGTGCCCTACAGCAAAAACCTCTAAAAAATTTTTAAAAAGGGGGCGTGGTGGCACCTGCCCTATGGTAAAAAAATTAAAAGAAGGAGAAGAGGAAATAAACTCCGGCAACTATGAAACGCAGGGTTTCTCCATAGACATTACCTCACTCTCCATCAAATCCATGGCTTCTGATTTTTTTTTTTTTTTTTTCACTAGAGCACTGAAAAAAGACAGAGACAAAGAGAGAGGGAAAGTGAGAAGTCACCCCCCAAGAGGGGATGCCCACACTGCAAACCCTTCCCCTCCATTCTCCTCTTAGGGTTTGGGTGTGCACACACACACCTGGCATGAGTTTTCAAGACACTGGGTCTGGGACTCAAACCTTGGTCAGCCATGTGAGACTCCACCCCGCCACCTGCTGGTCCCCCAGTCCTCTTCATAACAGTCACTCCCCAACTCACCTTCAAAACCCCCCAGAAAGGGG